AAAATTCCAAGCTCTCTGTTGTCTCCAAAACGTAAATACATTCCCTTTGTTGTTTTCTGTCGTGTTTTTCTGCACAAAATGTATTGCCACACATCCTTTGTATATTGTATTAACCGCATCTGTGCATTTTGTAACCTGTGATTGCAGATATAAGTATTTAAATACGCCTACCGACAATGACTGAAAATAGTACCATTCTACGAATATTAGCTTCCGCGGTGAAGCGGCCGTCAAACCAGCTGTTTCAATCAGAGGAGGTTTATTGTGATTTAATAGCCTCTGATTGACTAATCAGAATCGAGTAAATTCCAAATTCATGGTAGAATGTTCATTAACTATGTGACGTACGTGATGTCGTGGAGGGTTGTAGACGCTGTATTGGTGAGGTGAAATGGGGTTTAACGTCGCGTCCAAGATTATTGCACTTATATAGGGACGTGCATGTACGTGAGTGTGTGTGTGGCTGCTTGTACTAGTCCGGACTGATGCCGATTTATAGTGCTAGCTCACTGAGATACCATGCCGCAGTTTAACCATCTTCCCGAGGCAAGTGAGTTAACTGACTATAAAAGTCCAGTTTCCACCCTTGCCGAACTAGGCTGGTATTATGGAGTTATATTTTGGCTGGACTAACGAGTCTATGCATAGTCCAATCAAAATCGCGCACCGAAATCGAAATCCGGTTCGCAGAGTGTCATGCAGATTTCGGTCGACTGCAGGATTTGCAAAGCATGTGCACCGCTAACTCGTTGTCAACAGATATTTTCTAAATCTTTTCATGCTTTTAATCTAGGTGCTCACGTGATTTGAGGCACTTCGCGATGTAAGACTCATTTTATCACAATATAGATCTTGATTATCAATCAGATCGTCTTGACTGGGCGCCACCGTTTTGTTTGAAGCACATGCAAGTGATACGAGAGGTTGAATCTGATTGGTCAATAGGAGAGGCATAGAAAGGACATAACTCGTAATGGCCACTGGTGGCGCTACGATCGAGCCCAGGAATTCCAGCCTAGTTCGGCAAGGGTGGAAACTGGACTTTTAAAGTCAGTTAACTCTCTTGCCTCGGGAAGATGCAGTTTAACATGAATACCCCACTCAGACACAGTATACTGACTCCGATCCGACCAGTTCTTGTTTTAGCCCCTTAATGCCGAGCGCCAGACAGGGTAACAACAATCTTTTAACGTCTTTTGGTATGACGCGGCCGGGGATCGAACCCCGGACCTTCCGCTCTCCGGGCGGACGCTCTACCAGTAGACCACGGAGGCGGTCCTTATAAACAAGGACCATCATGTCTCTCAAGAGACAGTTAAATAAGGTGATTGTTTTCGATGTCAAAACGCATGTTGGTCGGCTGATTTACTGGTTTGCATCATAGATTCCTTGTTAATAAATTCTATTGTACACATTCAATCAATTCTGTATTTTTGCACTTGAGGCCGGTGGCCTATAAACAAGAATAATTAATCTAACTGCAATGAGAGATCAGGTTGGTACGCTTATAGGAAATAGCTATCACACATGAATACTGATTGCTTTCACAATTCATATATATCCTGTTCAGACAGGTGTTACTGCCTCACATTTAGGGCATTATAGAGACATAATTGTAGGATTTCACTGATAGACTTCTTTTGTGGAGACATAAGAATTACAAAGCACTGCAAAGATATACTTGTGCGATATACTTTACAGACATACATATTGAAAATTGTATATAATTGTATCTCATGTACCACCGTGGGTGTTATTTCGACGATAAATGAGATGAGTTGAGCTACTACATTACCATGCAATCTGTGACCACCAATACAGCGTCTAGACCGCCTCCGTGGTCTAATGGTAGAGCGTCCGCCCGGAGAGCGGAAGGTCCGGGGTTCGATCCCCAGCCGCGTCATACCAAAAGACGTTAAAATATGGTACTTGTTGTTACCCTGTCTGGCGCTCGGCATTAAGGGGCTAAAACAAGGACTGGTCTGCTCGGAGTCAGTTTACTGTGTGGGGTATTCATGTTAAACTGCGGCATGGTATCTCAGTGAGCTAGCACTATTAATCGGCACCAGTCCGGACTAGTACAAGCAGCCACACACACATACACGTGCATGCACGTCGCTACATAAGTGCAATAATCTTGGACGCGACGTTAACCCCCATTTCACCTCACCAATACAGCGTCTACAACCCTCCACGACATCACGTCACATAGTTAATGAACAATAACTCCCAATCAAGTTTGAACTCGCACAGAGTGAAAGTAATTTCTAATTGATGATTTTCTTTCGTTGAATAAATTCAAGATAATTATATCATTACTCAATGATGAACATACTCATGAATCGTAATTCGGCTTAAGAAATAACTCGCATCGCGTGCGTTCACAAATCTATTTCAATCAAAATGTAAACCAAACCTGCTTTAAGCAATAGTATTTTATTCATTAGCAATTTGTAATGCCTAATCGTTGTGAATGTACATAGCGACAATCTGCAAATCTTGGACTTGACAAAGATATCAGAGGTAACATACACCCTACTTTGAAGAGTTGTTGTTGTTGGTTTGTTGTTTAACGCCGCACTCAGCAATATTCCAGCTATATGACGGCGGTCTGTAAATAATCGAGTCTGGACCAGATTATCCAGTGATTGATATCATGAGCATCGATCCACGCAATTGGGATCGATGACATACATCAAACAAGTCAGCGAGCCTGACCACCCGATCCCGTTAGTCGCCTTTTACGACAAGCATAGAAGAGGGATCGTGAGAGGTATTATTATCATGTAGTTATAGTGATGAATGTTATACACTTGGAACGTTATTTAGCAGCTCTTACTACATGTCTCCATATATCATGGCAATGTCGTATTCTGCTTCACTTCTCTGACGATAAATATTTGTTTTGTTTTTTTATTTGAAATCCCCATATTAGAATCGGTCTTCAGCAAATCATGCTTGCCGTAAAAGGCGACTATGCTCAACGTTAGAGACGACAAACAGGATCGGGTGGTCAGGCTCGCTGATTTGGTTGATGCATGTCAATGACATCGTATCCCAGTTGCGTGGATCGATGCTCATGATATCAATAACTGGATTGTCTGGTCCAGACTCGATTGTTTACAGACCACCGTCATATAGCTGGAATATTGCTGAGTGCGGCGTAAAACAACAAACAAACCAATCCAGCATCTAGCCAGGGGATACTCCCCCATCGTGTTTGTTTAAGCTGCAGACTCATCTCGAAAACTGTAGGATACCCGCTGTAGGATATGCTTGTAACACAAAGATAACGATTTACGATCCCCAAAATACACTTTAGATGTGTTTCCTTCACAGCTCAAATTTAAAAAACCACAGTTCAACTCGATTTAAAACAGCATAGTGATAATCGTTCACGTGTTTCTGGTTGGCAAGAAGTGCTGGACAAGCCGGAAAACCCCGTCATAACAACAACTCGCTCTGTTTGAAAATACCCTTGTTCAGCATCCGATTGCTGTGTGTTGGATGGTTCGTATTTGTCAGTCTGGCTGTGCATGCGGGCTGCTCTACTGCAGCCAGGGTTACCAACCTCTGATGGCACCAAGAGTACATCTCCTTGGCGATCTGGTTCAGGGTAAGTGACTTTCTTCCCCTACTCCTCAGCCTGCTGGTGTTAGAACTACTGTCTGACTGTGGGCCGAAGGGGAACACACAGAAAACATTAAAACTTCGTATTTCCCAAAATAATGATCAGGAATGGACGCTTGGAATTATCATTCCATTACATAAACAGGACAATGATGTTGATACCACAAGGGAATAACTCCTATTTGTGTATGTAGTATGATTATTTTATCATTTATTAACAGTCCTCTTGTTGTTTTTGTCCGATTTTTTTTCAAAAGAGAGCAGAGAAACAAACAGGGTTTAGACAAAGATACTCCACCACCGACAATTTTATACACCGCAGTCTATTATCGTCAGTTATATTAACTAAGGGAAAAAAGAAGGTCTTTCGATATATTTTGTTGTGTTTTGGAAAAATGAAAGAACTGATGTTGTATTTGACTATGTCTATTTCACCACCACTCATTCTTGCAACAGCATGTAAAAATAATCATTGGCTGCGTAATTTTTTGTAAGAATAAAGTGGTTCAATGAAGACAGGGGAAAGAAATGAATTTGCAACCACATGACCCCTACCAAGTTTGAAAAAAACCAACAAATTTGTTGATTTTCAAAGATAAGATGTCTCAGATACCCCTGAGCAGTTCTGTATGATGTGAATTTTATTTTTTTAAGCAGTTCTGTTATATGTGAATTTTAATTTTGTAAAGGTATTTACTTATTTTTTATTCATTTAAAAAAATCAAATGATATTTTAAAAGATATAACCATGTAGAAGCATCCTTTCAGTGCATTCGTGACCAACTCGGGTTACGGAAAGGGGCGAGTGGTGACGAATACCTTTCAGTGCTGACTAAACGCCAGGACAGATCATATTTTGGATATAATATCGCTAATTTATAATATTTTCAATTGAAATTCAGTCATATGATAAAATCAACTGAGAGGTATAGTTTCTTTTGCTCCTCTCTTAACAAAGTAAAGGTGGAAGGATGTATGCAATATTCGTTGAGTTTACCAAAGCTTTGGGACTCAGAAACAAGATGTGGGCACTATTTCGTTCAAATGGATTTAGTGGGGAAGTTAGGGACTGCGTCGCCCAAATTTATCAAACCTATTGAAAAAAGTGATTTTTTAAAAATATTTTGTTTAATAATAAATTTCAACATTATTTATTTTGGGAGGTCTTTTATAATAGGAAGGTGGGGGACATGACAAATGTTACATGTAAGGGGGTTTCGGCAAAATAATCTGGTGTTAGGCAAGGGTGTGTTTTAAGCACCTTTTTGTTTAGTTTTTCATCAATGAACTTGCTTATTTGAAAGGCATAGCTGTACAGATGGTTTTCAGCTGTGCTCAAGTAAGTTTGTAAATACATTACGAGATCTCGCGAGAGCGAGACTTTATTCAAGATGGCGGCGCCCAGCGAGTGATCGTTTTCGCTAGGGTAACTTGTTTACTGGTATGTAATGTTCTATGTGATTGTGTAAGTGACGTAATGGGGGTAGATTGCTTGGAAAAGGGCTAGTAGATGTTAGTCTGGTTCAAAGTGCAGGTGTATGCACACGTACATGCCTGCAATTGAATGTAACCGAATAAACGACATTGATGCGACGCAAGACATCGTTGTGTCATCACTGCAGTATTTCGATCTAACATCAGTGGCAACTGTGGCATACTTTCATAACGGAAGGAGAGCCATTGACGTTGATTGAGGCAACTATGCAGTTTTATAAACATTTGCTAAAAAGCCCAGATGCCGGCTGTGGCTCGCGCTTCACAGATCTCGCGTGCATCTTCGATCCTTAGCCGGCTTAGGGTTACTATCAGTTAACCGCAACTCTGTTCTTAGCCCTTGGATCCCCTTTCTGATCATTTGATTTAGGTATCCCTTTCCGAACAGCCCATACAGGATCCTTAGCCCAGTAAGGGTTGGGTACCACTTGCCAATCGAACATCCCTTTACGATTCTTAGGCTTGGCCACCCCATTACGATCCTTAGGGTTAGTTGTGAGGTAGGGTATTGTTGAGCTCTGTCTAACTAATTCATCCAATGTACTTGCGTAAAATCTGTACAATTTGTATCAAATTTCGTGCTTTGCTGAGAAAATGGTTACTGTGCATACACATGAAGGTAATCAATCATGGGCTAGATTGTTGTATATATACTGGGGCCTACCTTTAGAATACAGTATCACAAACTTTTCAAACACGTGACAATACCCTATGACGTAATTTATAGTAGTTTGTTGCCATTCACACCGGCGAAACAATGCCCTGTGACATCAGCGGTCATCCATGTGCATTAACTCCTCTCAGTGATCTATCGTCTCTATACGCAATGTCATTGAATACGCCCAGCATAGTTGTTTACTAAATATAGCCTGTGGCGGCACATTTTATAGCAAGCGCTAGTTTATGAGAGCCCCTTTTGTTTTCAATATATTTTTTATTTCGTTTTTTTCGTAATTCAAGTGGCTAAAATGCTTATAAATGGGAACTAACATACATATATTATTTTTTGTGTTCATTAATTTTCATTGTTATGCACAAGAATGCAGTTTATTAGGTATATTATACTGGCACTGAACATACCCAAATGTCGCCGTTGTTAGGGTAGGTTACCCCGAACTCTATCCTTAGCCCTTGGATCCCCTTTATGATCAATCACCCCTTTACGAAGATTAGGGTTAGGTTCCCGTTTAGTGGCAATTATAGATTCTAAAGCAGCTTCTAATATTCTTCACACAAAAACGTCGAATAAAAAGAACGAAATTGTTTTATGTTGAATATTTTGGCTACTGGAAACTGTCCTGGAACATTCACTCAAGCCACTTTCACCCGCTACATTTTTTCAGTACTGATTCAAAAGCGAACTCTCCATGCCATGTTCATGCCTCCCTTGTCCCTTACTATTATCCACATCATCCTTACAGTGTTCCCTACCACATAATCACCCGACGAATTATTAAACACCATGTCATTCATGCGTCCTCGTGAGTTCTGACGCCTGAAGCCATATCGGCTCATTCCTCACCACTCGGTATCTTGTAGATTACGGAATGGGACGAGTGTGCCAAATGGCATCAGGATCATTCGTAAGTGTCTGTGGACTAAAGTCACGAGACACCATGCCTACCCGTAACCTTCGTAAGTGTCCGTCACCCATTCGACAATTTGTTCAGTTCCGTAACGTCCGTAATGACAATTAACTCATTAGCCTAGCTTGACTTCAAGCTGGCAATCTACATCACTGTTCTGTTTTATTGACAATGAAGGTTGTGGCTTCGTGAAAAGATGAATGGGAGGGTGTGTCCCATGCACAGTTCATTGTTTATTTTACTGAGCATACGTGTTAATGAGGTGCAACTAGCTCAAGAACACTGATTACATGTGATGGTGCTTGAGGCCAAGTGGTAGATAAGTCATACAGTTAACTAATCAGCTAGGCTGTGCGTCAAGCCGACAAGCCATTGGAGCGCGTTCAAGGAGCACTAATTGGAATCCAATAAAGTGCACCTCTCCTTTGGTGGATCAGTTCATTAAAGTTTCAGTGCCAAAGGAACTTAGACTTGCTGTAGTGAGTGACTGAGTTTGGTTTAACGCGTTTTAACAGTTTTCCAGTTTTATCACAGCGTCTCAGCTTAATGTAGGAGGAAAGTCCGAAGTGATGCAGGTCTCAGACGGTTACCACTTCAGTGAAACCCATGGTTCTGACAAACCTAGAAACATAATCAGGACGAACTGGGATTCGAACCCACAATCATAGGTTTCTGGCGTGCCCAAGGGACGCAACTTTGCACAGTGAATCGCGGCACCTTAGACGACTGGGCCACCCGTGCCCCCTAGACTTCCTGTAAGCAATGCAAAGGTGGAAAGTTAGGATCAGGCAGTGAGAGGCTGCAGGCTGTCTGTTAAAGCAGCAGAAACTTTTCGATCCCACAGCTGCCTCCATTGTCAGGTTGGAATAATGCAGCGATGACACAGCAATGTCAAACGCATAAATTACATACATCATTATAAAATCTTGTTTGTTGTGGACTGTGAATTTCCCACCCACCCCAAAAATAATTGAATTTTGATATTTTTTTTAACAGTTTTTAGAAAATATATATGGTGTTACATTTTTAAGATGAATAATGCAATATGTTTGAACCTGTATAGCTATATGCATCAGTTCAATGTTTTGGATTTCAAGACCATGTGGTTTCTCAAAAAGAGATTCTTAAAGATTGTTTATTTAAAAAGAAAACATGCTTATTGTTATGTGTAGTTTATTGCCATGACAAAACATAGTCTCAATATGATGCTAGACTATTACCATGATTACTATTATAATATGCCACTTACATTTCAGTTTCAGCTGGCTCGGGGACATAGTGAGATATCAAATTTTGCGGGATGGCAGCCCCCAGCAAAAGTGGACTTGACAAAAACAATAAATATGACAGGCAGCTCAGATTGTGGGGTGACCATGGTCAGGCTGCTCTGGAGTCAGCTCGAGTTTGTCTCCTCAATGTGACGGCAACAGGGACGGAGATACTGAAGAATCTCATCCTCCCTGGCGTGGGCTCCTTCACCATTGTCGATGGCAATAAAGTTAGTGGAGAAGATGTTGGCAACAACTTCTTCTTATCTAAAGACAGTCTGGGAAGGAGCCTGGCTAAAGTTGCTACAGAATTTCTGGCTGAGTTGAATGATGATGTCAGTGGAGATTTTTTGGAGGAGAGTGCTGAAAATCTTCTCCAGAGCAACCCTGATTTCTTCACCACCTTCAGCATAGTTATTGCTACCAACCTGTCTGAGAGGACTCTGCTTCTGCTAGATGAGCTGCTGTGGGAGAAGGGTGTGCCACTGCTTGTGTGTCGCTGTTACGGATTCATCGGTGAAATGAGACTGGTGGTTAAAGAGCACACCGTGATCGAATCACATCCAGATAGTGCTCATAATGACCTCCGATTGGACAACCCTTTCTCTGGACTTCGCCAATACTGTGATAGTCTTGATCTTGCAAATATGACGAAAAAGGAACATTCCCATACACCCTGGCTGGTAATCCTGTACAAGTTCCTGCAAACGTGGAAAGAAGAACATGATGGACAAGTGCCCCAAAACTACAAGGAGAAGAACCAGTTGAAAGTCTTGATAAGACAAGGTACCATGAAGAAGGAAGACGATGCTCATGAGGAAGAGGAGAACTTTGAGGAGGCCGTGCAGCATCTCAACTCTGCACTTGTACCTACTTCAATCCCATCAGAAGTCCTGAAAATATTTGAAGATTCAGCATGCTGTCAGTTGAATTCCGAGAGTAAGCCGTTCTGGATCCTCGCCAAGGCTGTGAAAGACTTTGTACAAATCCATGGTTCTCTTCCCCTGAGAGGAACCATCCCCGATATGACAGCTGATTCCGAGCGCTACATCCAGCTGCAGAACGTGTACCGTGAACAAGCAGGACAGGACGTGGAGGACGTGATGCAGCATGTCCAGAGATTGCTGCAGGAGATAGGGAAGGGACCAAACACCATCGCAGAGAAGGATGTTAGGTTATTTTGTAAAAATGCATCTTTTCTGCGGGTTGTCCGATGTCGAAGTTTAGCAGAAGAGTACAACTCTGCCACGGCAAACATTGCGGAATTAGGAATGTGTTTGGAAGATGAAGAGGGAGATGATGTGATTTTCTACATCCTTCTGCGCGGAGTAGACAAGTTTTATGAAGAATTCAACCGTTATCCTGGCTGGTACAATGATCAAGTTGAATCTGACATCATTAAACTAAAGGCCTGCATAGTCAAGTTACTTCATGACTGGGGACTACCACCAACTGTCAAGGATGATTTTGTCCATGAAATTTGTCGCTATGGGGCAGCAGAGCTTCACTCAGTGGCAGCCATGATGGGTGGTGTTGCGGCCCAAGAGGTCATCAAAATCATCACTGGTCAGTTTGTCCCTATCAACAACACCTTCATCTATAATGCAATGAAGCAAACATCCAAGACTGTCCAACTATAAGTGTTGAGGACGATGGACCTTGTAAAATTTGCTGCCACTACTACAACAGTTACATGTGGGGTGTACCCACAAAGGTGTATCCAGAAATCGGTAGAGGCAAAACTAAAGTGTTAAATCCATTATTAAGCACACAAGATCAATGAACAATCAACAAATTATATTGAAGACTTTCTTTAGAACGCACGTTTCTAACAAATCATGTTAAATGTACATTATACATGTTTATATGCTTAATTAGCAGAACTGCATTTGTGCACAGATACAATAAATTTTACAAATTTCCCATACCCTTTTTCTCTTGTATTGACAGGTTGTAACTGACCTTGACTGACTACTTGACCTGAGAACACAACATGAACCTCAGCAGATGGGGATTGATCTTAGGACCTACATCATTGTTTTTGCTGACCATATTTCTTTTACCTTACCTCCTCACGCAAAGTATCAAATCATGCTCACGTGTAAACTCAGAACTGCCCTCATATGATATAGACTGAATAGGAGAAACAGTTGCATTAACTTCAGGTTGTACATTTTCAGACCTGTCATGATATTCTAAAACCGTACCTGGGACTGAAATTTCTATTTTTAGATTTCTTGTCATTGTGAGCTTTTATTTTGTCACGTGATAACTTCATATCATCCTTGACAACTTAAGTAGCCCTCAAAAGTCTAGTTCGCTAAATAGAAACATAGTCAAGTAAATTCAAGTCTTATTGGTCAGTAAGCCACTATTCTTTCAAATGTTAAGGGGTCATCTGACTGTGTGACCAAAGTCTAGCTGAACCCCAACGATTCCTGAACTGACATAACTGCAAACAACAAGGGCATGCCTTGTAAATCCTGATCATATTTTTCAGTCTGATGAAATCTCTCCAGTGTCTCACATGACACAGGGTGATGAGCTCTAGATTTGACAGTCTAACTCCAGCTCATCCATGACCTGCTGAAACAACCCCGACCTGAATTTCAACCCTTGAACAGACTGAACTACTTCGGATAAGCCAACCATGCTCAATCACTTCATGTGAATCTGGTTGAAGCGCCAACAAAAAATGAATTTTCTGATACTGTTTTCCTACCACTGGATATTCCAGTCTTACAAAATTGTGAAACAAATCACGTCCGGAGAAATAATGGTTTGGGCCTAACCTTTACGACGGAAGGCTCAAACTTTGAATGACACATTTTGATGTTCATATGTTTTTCATGAACCTATATTCTTGGTATGACGCAAACACTGACGGACAACCTGGATATTCCTGGGAATTCCCTATAGCGAATAAATACACCAGCCTCAACTCCGTGTTTTTGCATACATCGAATATCCTCCCCGCAACCTATGTTAGGAACAAAATGAAGAAATGCACACCCAAACTATGGACTGATCCGATTCTAGACTGACAGTAACAGTGACACATTTTGATGTTCATATGTTTTTCATGAACCTATATTCTTGGTATGACGCAAACACTGACGGACAACCTGGATATTCCTGGGAATTCCCTATAGCGAATAAATACACCAGCCTCAACTCCGTGTTTTTGCATACATCGAATATCCTCCCCGCAACCTATGTTAGGAACAAAATGAAGAAATGCACACCCAAACTATGGACTGATCCGATTCTAGACTGACAGTAACAGTCATCAACGTTCTTCAGCACTCTGCATGTGACCGCCCCGTGGCCTAGTGCCCAATAGTGGTTAGAGCGTCTGCCCGGAGAGCGGAAGTTCGTGGGTTTGATACCCGTCCGCGTCATACCAAAAGACGTTAAAATATGGTGTCTGTACTTGATGTTAGGCTGAATGGCGCTTGACATTAAGGGGCTAAAACATGAACTGGGGTCAGTATTCTGTGTCTGAGTGGGGCATGCTTGTCAACTGCGGCATGGGATCTCAGTGGGCTTGCACAATAAAGTCGGCATCAGTCACACACACACACACACACACACAGACCTTAAACCCTATTTCACCTCACCTCTACAATAATCTATGAATTTGATTCAGTATATATTCGACACATCTCTATTATTACCTGACTGCATCCATGGTCTAATAGAAGGTAGGTGATTCGTCATATCATATATCCTCGCTACGATTAATCGAAGTGAACAAAACAAAGAAATGTATACCACTTCCAAACTATCGGCTCGGTCCATACCTACACTGACAATGACAAGCTCCAACGTTCATATACATCTTTGCTCGAATGAACACACACAGAGTGAAAGTCAATTCTTAATTGAAAATAATATCTTCTGAGACAAGTAGCTTATACAAGTTTGGGCAGTATCTGGGAATAAAATTCGTATTATTGATTAAATTATTGAATATTGAAATTGTCGCGTTTATTCTTCCGGTTACCAGACGGGGTGTTTCTGGGGAAACCAACACTGATTTGAGGCAGGTGGGGGGCTTTTTTTTTTTCTTTAAAAAAAAAAAATGTAATTCATATTAGGTGCCACGATTTTACAACAGACCGTACAGAACCACGTGGCTGGCCTAACGGGTCGCAATATGAACAGGCTTACTAGACAATGCTTGAGCAGAGCTTCTGATATTCGCTCTTTCATCACATGGTTCATTTTCTGATGTTTGTTAACGACTTGTACATGAAGCTCTAGCTCCTTAACATAGTTATTAATGTACAGATCTATTCAATTTTTTTACATTTATACACATAATATTTTGCCGAAAGTAGAAAATAATTGAGTATCGTTTCGTCGGAGGCCACACTCTTTTGAACCCCAAATAATACTGTATCTGTGTAACTTTCAAATATCATTTCATTTATATTCACTTTTATCCATTTAAAAAACCTGACCCAAAATGGAAGGACAGTTGGACAGTGAAACAAATAATGTTGTATTGTTTCCGACACTCCACATCTGTCACATTTCTAACTGGTCTTGATACTAAATTTATGTAAATATATGTAAGGCAGGTAGAGTCGGATGGAAAAAGGTGCATGCATATGAGCTGAGCAAGTCGTTGCACGACACTGGAGCTCCACGCAAGTGCCCGTAGAGCTCCTTGGTGACTGCTCTGACGACACTTTCTACTCTGTGTCTTTTCCTCTCTGGCGCTAGGCATTAAGGGGCTAAAACAAGGACTGGTCGGCTCGGAGTCAGTATACTGTGTCTGAGTGGGGTATTCATGTTAAACTGCGGCATGGTATCTCAGTGAGCTAGCACTATAAATCGGCATCAGTCCGGACAAGTACAAGCAGCCACACACACACACACACACACACACACACGTACATGCACGTCGTTATATAAGTGCAATAATCTCGGACGCGACGTTAAACCCTATTTCACCTCACCTCACCTCTAACCCTGTCATTATCGGATACGGATGCTTCTGCACGTAGTTAGGAATTATTACCTCTCAGGAATATAATGCGGTCCATCTCGTTAAACTCAGATCTTAGTTCTCGTTACCGCTAAGCGAGAACTAAGGTCTGATTTTAATGAGATTGATAATGCGGGTAAAGGGTTGCGATGGGCTTCATCAAAAGCAAAATGATCTTGGAGGGAAAGAAAAGCTAAACGTAGAACTCAAACTTCACCGTGCCTCTTTTCTGATGCTTCAGTGAACATAGGACAGTGGTCACCAAGCATCCCTCTCTTTTCCATGATGGTGGATCTTGGACATCTATCAATAATTAGTGACGTGTAAAAAGTGAAAATATATACAGTAAACTACGTTTATAACGAACACCCTTATAACGAACTAACGGATATAACGAACTAACTTTTTAGTCCCGACTATATGCTGTCGTTATGCTGTATATATGCTTATAACGAACTACGGTTATAACGAACTAAAATTAGAGGTCCCTTTGAGTTCGTTATAACCGTAGTTTACAGTAAGGCAATAATGATATGATGAAGTGCAAACGTCTTAATATTGAATGAAGCTTTATATCTGAATCGAATAGGATGAATTAAAAACACATCTTTCACAAACAACTGCTCCCCTCTTGTTTGCAAGCGTCTGATTATTTCCCACAGTAAGATGGGCTAAGTTGAAGTTGTTTCGTGTTAATTTCTCTTTTATTATTAATGATTGTAGTAAGATTCTGTTGTATGTTTTTGTAGCTTAACATCTAACTAGTTTTCATCGGTTTTGCGGTGAAACTAACCTGAGATTTTGCTGTGGGGGCCATCTAAAACAGATTCGTCTGTTAGTTGCCATTCGTACCCTTTTTATTTCTAATTTATTTTCAAAGCAAACATTACCTTTTTTAGCATTTGGTTGTGGAATTGGAACCTTTGACATGTTTGATGGCGGAAATAAAATAATGCGATTACAAATAGAAGTATTTTCAAGAGTACAGATTAAGATTTTATATAATGGAAAAAGAAGTTTGTGCCATGGGGATCGGTTCTTCACTTGCTGGCTTTGTCCTATTATATTATATTATATTATATTATATTATATTATATTATATTATATTATATTATATTATATTATATTATATTATATTATATTATATTATATTATATTATATTATATTATATTATATTTACACTTAGGTTACCGCAATGCACGCGTAAAAGGTATATTTGTGCTAAATGGCAAAATTTCGTCATTAAATGTGATAGACCGCTGACTTTGTGTGCTGGCGATTAAGTGTCTCACTCTGGCAGTGTGAGTTCGAATCCCGGATGGGAGTCAACCCAAAAAAATACGAAAATCTGTACTTTACTAAGAAACTGTTATCCCAAATATAACATCTGTTGCATGAGCGGATTGGGATATATAATTTGGTTTCAGGTTATGTATGGCAGACTGTCATCATGGTCATGTCCAATTCAAACGTCCAACTACATGTTTTAAGACAAACTGTCCATTTTATTTCAAACTCAACTGAGACAATTAACTCAACTTATTATTGATAACTGAGCATATTGTCAATGAAGCTTTTCACTGCTAAAAATAATTGTGCAGTCATTTCATGCCTGGGACGCTTCATATTGGACAAAGCGTCCGTAATAGTGCGCTTATCTAGGGGAGGTTACTCTAATTGTTGCGTGCGCCAAATCTGAGCCGTATCAGCTGCCAATGACGACTTGCTTGCTACCTGTTTTACAGTTTGTCTATAGAAACAACAACGCCGTTACGTCATACGTTAATTTTGATACATCGGACAGATAGCCATACCATTTTACTCGACTGTGGAGGTATGGCATTAGTTCTATTTCGCCTGATAGGCCTATTAATTTTTTGCTTTGTCACTGTTTATGATGGGTACGACTGCACTTCACCGGACGAGGTGAGGTGAGGTGAAATTGGGTTTAACGTCGCGTCCAAGATTATTGCACTTATATAGCGACGTGCATGCACGTGTATGTGTGTGTGTGTGTGGCTGCTTGTACTAGTCCGGACTGATGCCGATTTATAGTGCTAGCTCACTGAGATACCATGCCGCAGTTTAACATGAATACCCAACTCAGACACAGTATACTGACTCCGAGCCGACCAGTCCTTGTTTTAGCCCCTTAATGCCGAGCGCCAGACAGGGTAACAACAAGTACAATCTTTTAACGTCTTTTTGTATGACGCGGCCCGGGATCGAACCCTGGACCTTCCGCCCCCGGGCGGACGCTCTACCACAAGACCACGGAGGCGGTTTCACCGGACGAGGATTATATCCGACTGCATGGTGTGCTACACTGATCTCGCATGCCCCTTCGATCCTTTAAAGTTTAGGGTTAGTATAGGGTACCTCCAATTCTTTTTTTAGCCTGTGGAATCCATTTCCATCAAGCTCCCTTTTACGATCCTTCGGGTCACCACACCTGCCGATCACACAACTCCTTTACGAGAGATTCTATGTCGTATGTCACACCAAAATTAACTGCCTTCCTGTAACATTTCTGTCAGACTGCATGACATTTTCCTCCACCTGCCCAACAGATAATTTTAAGACTACATGTATTTACATATTCAATTTTATCCTAACTCCTCGTACATTCTTAAAGGGGCACTGATCTAACGCAATTCCCCGGGACTGGTTGTTGCCTTTGTTATTGTTTTTCCCCAGTGAGTGCGCCATTCGTAAACTCATTAGTCACTTTTATGGGTAGTAATAAGGACGTATGGTCACATTGATCAACAAAATGAAATACAGTTTTCGAGATAATAAGGAAATGTATCTTTGTGGGTAGCATCGGTAATGGTGATGAAGTTTTGATAAGTCACTTGCTTGGTAATTTGCGATTTTCGTTTACACTATTTTGACTTGCAACACAAAGTAAATATTTCACCTGAGCATTGCTTTTTTTTATAGTGTGTATATTTTTTTACTGTCAAAATGTGTAACATTTCCAAATTTATTAAACGCCTAAATATTCAGTTATTTTACAAAGGGACTGAAAAACATTTCCATCTGTATTATTATGATAACGAATTCCAAACATTTTGATGTTTAATGTCATCACCAAGAGACTGAAAATGTAACGTTGAAAAGTACATTTCTATGTTGTTTGGCTTCTAATCCTACATTATAATCTGTTGTGATGTTTGTAGGCCCTTTTGATCGTCTTAATCAATCTGGACAGATTTTTTAGTCAAAATGACTGAAATATTTACACATTTTATAAATTGCTTGAGAGAATCACATTTTACAAATTGACGGTAATATATACACGCTTACAAAGGAAAAGACCTGTAAAAACAACGTCTATCGCGCATTGAAGAATTTCCCAACCAAGACGTAGAGAAACAAGGACGAATCAGTTCAATGCTACAGCAAATGAAGAAAAACAAAATGCAAATACCATAATTACAACCTACCAAATTTATGTTTATAAATTTTAGGCAGCTTCCTTGATCGAGGAATGTATCCGTGAATATCCACACAAACGAACAATATCCCACTCGTCTGCAGCTGTACAAAGAAACTTATTCGATGTCACATGTCTCTGTAACAATCAAATATTTAAAAAAATATATATCGTTTCGGGATATTATATCCCGTGTTCGTTTCTCAACTGATCACTTGGATTGTTTCAGGTGTTTCACACAGGTGTTAAGTCTCAAGGGTCGGCTGAGAAAGCCCACGTGACAACTATTTTCATAACGTCCACGGTTCCTAAAAAATCCATTGAGTGATAGATAACAATGACCAATCAAAAAATAAGTAAATCAATCGATCATTCACCTCTTGCTGGTCTGCCACGTGCATATTACATAACACACATTTCACCTCACTTCATGGTGCTACCATTAATTGTACCTGTAATAAATTCATTAACTGAGCATCAAGTGAATGACAACAAATACACAAGTGTAGGGTTATACGAGAAAACGTGGATGACAACAAGGGATTAGTAATCGTGTTATCGACGCAATCTGAAATCCCAAAATGCTTTCACTGCACTTTTTTTAGCTGAAGAAATTAATTAACATGCGCCCTTTGTCGAAATCTTTATAGATCACAGTTAACCAATCAGTGTTTGTGCAAAAATGCGTAAAACAAATATTGCCTCCAGCCTCCAAGTTTATTTAGCTGTCCTTGCAGACGGTAGCCCAGTCTCTGGTCACGCTCAGTTGCGTTGCGTATCATCCGGGTACTCACAGGGGAAAAAACAATAACAAAGGCAACAACCAGTCCAGGGAATTGCGTTAGATCAGTGCCCCTTTAATTAAGTTATTGTTTGGATTATTTCAACTGAATCAAGATGCGATATTTTCAGCGAATGTCTGAATGCCGGCAGTTAACTTTGAAGATGGGCAGGCAACGTTTATGGGTCACCTGCACGACGGTTTTTCAAACACTGTTTATAATTCACTTCAGAAAAGGAGCATCAACAATGGTGGACTGTCTAGGAAGCAGGTTTGCTGTAGACGATAAGAGGCTTCATGAAGTGTTGGACAAAGCAAGAGACTTTGCTCTCTCAACAGGTATATGACTATCATCTTTGTATTTGTTGTGTAATTAAGAATTGACATTCACGTTGAGTGAGTTCATTGGAGTATGAACCTTCATATAGTGAGGGCCAAACTGTATGAACGTCAGAGCTTGGCCCTCACTCTATGTCTATGAAGGTTTATACTCCAATGAACTCACACAAAGTGAAACTCAGTTCTAACATTTTTGATATCACTATTTTTACCTCAAAAGACGTAGAACTTGATCTTAAGCAATTATATTTACTATGTGTGACTTCATGTTTATACTGACAGCCATGCAACAACCAGCTGTATAGCGGAATAAAATAGTTCCTGAAAACACAAAGTGACAACAGCATATTATATTATATTGGTAGTTTTTGAGAAATGGTAGTTTAGTTCATTGCATGATTGCATCTTTGTATTTACATATATATATATATATATATCCTACTGGCTCCTCTGGGGTAACAGATGTTAGACTACTGCAAGGCATAGAGTATCTGAAGCAAAGCTTTTTATTTATTACTAATCGTTTTCCAAATGGTAAGTTTATATAGTGATTGGGGATCTTAATGCCAGGTGTGGATATTAGTCCGATTTTGTTGTACATGATGGGACAAAGCCATGATGATATATGCAATGAATATGGAAAGGAACTCCTTGATTTGTGTTCAAATCATAACATTCACATGTTGAATGGGAGATGTTCGGGTGATACAGAGTGTAGCTTCACTTGTTTTAAAGGAGACGGAGCAAGTTTGGTTGATTCATGGCCGAAGTTAATTTTTTTTGACGGGGGGTGGGAGCAAATATTTGTACAAGTATCACTTGACCCCAACTTTCATGATTCAAATAAAACTGTGTTCTATCAAAAATCCGGTGGGGGTGGGGGGGGGCCCGGCTGGGTACGGCACTGTGATTACTGTTTATGTTCAAGTGACTTATTTACCAGAGATATCCACTTTACTGTACGTACACGGTGTGAGTCTGATCATTTTCCAATTGTTATGTCATTGCAAGTACACAAGTACATACTGACCATAGTACTACGGAGAATGGGGCAGAAAATGAGGAAAATAATACATCGTCAGATATACTAAGATATGTTTGAAAGGATGCTGTTATTGAAACTTTTCGTCAGTCTGTAGCTGATATGTTATCACCTTATCTCTTAGACAGTGACAGACACCAGGTTCTACTTAATATCGAGTCTGCGGTAGAAAAATTAGTTGATGTATTTCATATTTGTGCTGAATCCTGTGGTCTTTTAAAAAAGAAGTATAGTACTGTTTGCCGGACTAATTGGTACGATGATGAGTGTATAAAGTTAAAGAGACAAAAGTTTAATAAATAGAGGTTATCACGCAAGTGTGTTTGGGGATGGTAAATATCCTGCATTAGGAATAAACATTGTTTTTAGCGAGCCTTGGTGAGCTAAATACATAGTGTTTATTCCTAATACAGGATATTTACCATCCCTAAACACACAAGCGTGATAACCTCTTTATCATATAATGTCATTCTTCAATTCTGTGCTTGAAAATCGCTTCCCCTCACTCACAAACATTACCTAAACATTGCGAGTTTTCCTGGAATGCGCGCATTAATATTTATTGCGTCACAGGGTAAGTGATGTGTCAGTCGGACAGTGACAGTAGCCAATATAGTTCCAACTAAAATCTGTTTCTTATACAGTGGCGAAGCAACATATACGCAAAACAACAATTGTTTTTACTTGCCTTTTGCGGCAATCCATCGGTCTGTCCGCTAGAGTAGTTGCGCTTTGTCAAAGGGATGCTCCTCTACCCCTAGTCTTTGAGACGTCACGGCCACGTTCTGACGTTGTTGACAGTCGGTCTGTCCTGTCATAACGTTAAGTGCAGTCAGACGTACACACCGCGACAAAACGAAACAAGGTAACAATTCAAATATATTTCGGCCAAATCCAACTATTTTAATTTGTGGAAAAGATTTCAAGCACAGATATGGCTACTGATCCCGCTTGGCTAGGCCTAGTGCCCTCACAAAATTGTTTCGAAATTTATATCTCCAAAGTTGCCAAAACTTATAAAATGCCTTAGCTACGTCACAGTTAGACACTGATTTTCAGTATATTAGACTGTTCTTTTGATAATGATAGAATTATCCCTTTAGTTTATCCAGATTCCCGATGAGTTAATTCTGACTCGATCGCCGAATGACAAGGGCGATGCCATGTTTGTTTATAAACACTTAAAAAGGTCCCTACTTGACCTTTGATATTTGCATCTCTATCTGCATATGACCCCAACAGATATTGTTTTTATCCGTTGGCTTTATCCTGCCGAGAAACCTACCCATTATATGATAAACTTGATTTATTCAGAATCTCAGGAAGTAAGGAACTTTTGAAGGAATGTTTTGTAATTAAGAATAAATACAGAGAACTGTGTAGACAAAAGAGATTGGAGCATGATGAACATTGTATAAATGATTTGGTCAATAATTGCAAAAATGGTAAATCCTTTTGGAGACGCGTCAACAATATTATTTCTTCACCTTCTGTGATAGGCAGCCCAGGTACTAGCAATATGCAGTGGACCGAATATTTCCAGCATGTGTTTAATTTAACTGATATACCTGTGGATGGGGACAATCTGGATGAGGCAGAAACTTTTATTTACAGCCATCATATTAATGAGTGCAATTACTGTAATGATGATGTTATGAATAATCTCCTTAATGCTGATGTAACTGAAGAAGAAGTATCATCAGCTATACATAACTTGAAACTGGGTAAATCGGCTGGACCAGATGGAATTCTGCCTGAAATGGTGAAATGTTGCAGCACTTCAATCATACCATACTTAACTATAGTTTTCAATAGGATTATGCATAGTGGACATCAAGACTTTTGCGGACGTTTATGACACAATTACTGAAGCTAAGGCAGGATTTCGAAGCGGATACCGTACAATTGATAATATATTTACATTACAGTGTTTAGCACAAAAATAGCTCTCTAAACATCAGGGAAGATTTTATTGTTTGTTTGCTGATTGCCGTAAAGCGTTCGATTCGATTAACCAAAAGCTCTTGTGGTATTCAATAATGAAAAATGGAATACACGGTCGTATATTGGTGGTTTTGAAGGATCTATACTCTAAGATTCAGTGTGCATCAGGACATCAAATAAATCTCTTTCAGATTATTTCGAATCACTGAGTGGTGTTCAACATGGCTGCGTGTTGAGTCCGTTTCTGTTCACGATGTTTATCCTTGAATTACAATATATGATAGAAAGAAGTGATTTGCGAGGGATTTTTATTGGAGAGGAGTTTATAGCCATATTAGTTTTACTATAGTCTGGAAGGTAATTTAAGGTACCGACGTTTACTACAATATCTGAAAAACTATCGGACCTACTCCAGTCAAAGTTGGTATGAGATTATTAAACAGTCATACATAACTGGATATTACATTTAAAGACAATCGGTGCATGAATAAAAAATATGTCTATTTAGCTATCTCTATATTTCATCAACAACCAGACCTGTTCGTCATGGGTGGAACGAGCATTCATTGAAACAGCATTCTGCATAATGCTACCCCTGCGTCACAGGACCATATGACACAGCTGAACCAATCAACTCAACTCGAAAGGGTGCGCGGCAATCACGCACGCACGAATACGGTGTTAGCGTTGGGCGTCTCAACGTGCGTGATTCCCGTGCACCCTTTTGAGTTGAGTCGGCACCTTAAATTACCTTCCAGACTATATATGCAGAGGATTGTGTATATTGGATGACACAGTAATAGGTCTGCAAGGAAAAATTGATATTTAATTCAATTTGTGTAAAATGTGGGAACTTAAATTTAACATGTCTAAAACCGAAATTTTGGTTTCCAGAAGAGGCTTGTACTCAAAGGTATGATGAATGATGGTTTTTGAATGATCATGATGATAAACGTTTCATTGTTAGTACTTACTATAGTTATCTGGGTGTTCTGTTTTCAAATAGATTGTCTTGGACTAAATGCATTGATACCCTCAAGATTAAAGCCAAAAGGCTTTCTTTGCCATTAAACAATTGCAGTTTCACTTTGTAAATACATGTATGCCAGTTAATATTTTATTTAAATTGTTTGATATTAAGATAAAGCCAATTCTTCTTTATGGTGCAGAGATCTGGGGTTGCAAAGCTAGTCAAATTGTCGAAACTTTTCATACTATGTTTTATAAATTTGTTTTAGGAGTTGGTAAATACGTATCAAGCACAGCTATATTTGCTGAATGTGGAAGATAAGGTTTGCATGTGCATTATCATATGAAGTGTGTTAAATACTGGTGTAAACATATTAGTGAATGATGAAAGATATCCCCGACAGTGTTATTTGTTAATGAAGAAGCTGGATGAATGTGGTAGAAGTACTTGGGCAACTCATGTTAAATATTTACTTTGACATTTATGGATTTGGTTATATAGAGACCATAGACGTATGCTGTGCCTGTTGAGATTATTAAGTGAATTGCCTATCTGGGCAGAAGAGAGGATTTTGTTTATTCACAACGCTTTTGTTGGCTATGTAACAATGGTTGTATTGAGGATGAAGTCCATTTTGTGTTTGTCTTAAATAACCAAAATGACTGTATATTCAGAAATGTAGCTAAGTATGTGAAGGAAGCTCTTTTACCATGTATTATACCTAATATTATACCTATCAGTGTTCATCAGTGTTTACATCATTTCAAGAACACAGTCTCGTGGAAAAATGTATGAACGTCAAATTGTGTCGTTCATACACTTACGGACGTCAATATCATGGTCATGTGACCGACCACTGATCTAATGGAAAAAGCTGTATATCGTGTAAACTTCATATTAAAAATTATTAATTTTTAACTTATGACAAAACAGTATGAATGCATGTTGAAGGATAGCTTTGGTGACCATATTGAAAATTTAATGTTTGCTGATGACTCTGTCATGTCTGCATGATGAACTTCGCTGGGGCATATTTTGACCCTCGTGTACTCCCGTTTCACCCTGACAGCCATATGTAAAACCCTGTAATGACTATTATTCAGACTTCAGAACGTATTGAAATTTGGCATTTGTGTAGGGCCTTACCATTGCTCTCATTTGTTTTTTCTTGGTCAATATTCAAAGCTGCAGATAATTTTTTGAGCAATTGAGGTTTTACTCTAGGGTTCTGTTTTAATTGGGTTATTACATTTTTCATTGGGTAACCAATTTGTTTTCACTCATCTAATCATCACTCTATTGTTTTTTTCCCAAAATGAGTAAGCACTTTGAGATTAAAATTTTTTAATGAAATCATGTTTTAGATGTATATACCGGTTCTGAAAATAGGCTTGACTCGGAAAGTAAAATAGCTTGTAATTGTGTTTCTGAAAGCTCTGTTGTACGCATGCTGAAAGAACTTCATTGGGTATTCGGGCGGTCGGGTAGCCTCGTGGTTAAAGCGTTCGCGTGTCACGCCGAAGACCCATGTTCGATTCCCGACATGGGTACAATGTGTGAAGCCCATTTCCGGTGTACCCCGCTGTGATATTGCTGGAATATTGCTAAAAGCGGCATAAAACCATACTCACTCACTCACTCATTGGGTATTTACGCGTGCTGTTTTCAAACAATTGAGTTTTCCATTTAATGCATGTGTTTCTGTACGCAAGTTAATTGAAAGTAACTGGGTTTTGAATACTTTTTTGGGGTATTTTATGCAAATACGCTGCTTATCTGTAGTTTGACTTGATGTCACCAAAGTGAATGCTGTCATATACAATATATAGTGAAGAAAATGCAAAGTGTGTCTTATTGCACACTAGTCTGCCATGATATTTCATCATATTACCTTCACAAATTGAGTGAGTGAGTGAGTGAGTGAGTTGGGTTTTACGCCGCTTTTAACAGTATTCCAGTTATATCATGGCCTGTCAGCTTAATGTGGGAGGAAAGAGCGAAGTGATGCAGGTCTCAGACGTTTACCACTTCGGTGAAACCCATGAGCACGGGTATGGTGCTGACAAACCTAGAAACATAATCGGGTTGAACCGGTATTCGAACCCACAATCATAGGTTTCTGGCGTGACCAAGGGACGCAACTCTGCACAGCGAATCATGGCGCCTTAGACGACTGGGCCACCCGTGCCCCCTTCACACATTGAGAAGCAATGGCAAAATATGTATGTGTTATATAAGCAATATGTAATGTTTTTGAAAAAGTGACTTGTTTAACACTGTCAGAATACCTCTAAATAAAGAACATAAGAATCTTAAAAGGTTTAGACGTTTGGACAAAAACATGTGTTTTTCTCAATTCACCACAGGCATTAGAAAAATTTAGATAAATTTGTTTAACATGCTAGATAAATCCCTGTGCGTACTCCATCTCATCTTTTCTTAGACGTCATTGTACTAACTTCCATAGATGATGAATAGATGCTGACGGTGTCGACCACTGGTTTGACTTCTTCAGATGTGATGAAGTTGCCTAGTGGTAGAAGCATTCGCTCATCACGCCAAAGGCCCTTTCCCCAAATTGTGTAAAACAGGTATCCCTGGTCGTGATATTGCTAGAATATTCTCACTCACTCACTCACTCACTCACTCACTCACTCACTCACTCACTCACTCACTCACTCACTCATATTGTGACTACTGCACAAACCCTCACTCACTCACTGACTGTCTCACTCCCTAGGAATCAGTATGAAGTCCCTGCAGGGAGAGAAGGGCTCCATGCTGGCTGAGTGTGCCCCCTTCACCCTGTTCCCCAGTGTGGTGCCCCGGGCATGCTTCCAACAGGCCGTGGACTGCATGCTGGATTTCAACAGACTCATTCATAAAGTAGCCCATGATCACAACTTCCTGGAAAAGTCCCTTAAGAAGTAAGTACAAGCTATTTTGAAGCACTCTAATCATATAAAACACCTAGAGCTAAATTATTTAGCAAATGTACTGACATGTTTTCAACCAACATAACAAGTATTTGACTAGTTTGGGGCTAACCAACATAAATTGTTTTCAAAATTATTTCTGGGCAGTGGGGTAGCCTAGTGGTTAAAGCGTTCTCTTGTCACGCCAAAGACCCAGGTTCGACTCCCGACATGGGTACAATGTGGGAAGCCCATTTCTGGTGTCCCCAGCCGTGATATTGCTGGAGTATTGCTAAAAGTAGCATAAAACCATACTCACTCACTCACCAATAATTATTTCCAGTCATTTTTATATTAAATGCACTCCTACTTTTCCAAAAGGCTGTGTCCTCACTTGACCATCCATGACTGCCATGTTGCATGCCACCATACTCTGCTCGCCTTGTATGTATCCCTTTGGGGCGTCCAGGACAGATGAGGTCTCCACTAATGAGTGCTTGTCATAAGAGTCCAACTGAAATGGGAGTCAGTTGTCAAGCACCGTGTCTTACCTGACTCCTGTGTTTTTGCACCCAATGATGTGGATAGCTACTTATGCTCTCAGTCCGACGCCTGTGTTTTTGCACCCAATGATGTGGATAGCTACTTATGCTCTCAGTCCGACTCCCGTGTTTTTGCACCGTATGATGTGGATAGCTACTTATGCTCTCAGTCATTGTTGTAATGTATCTAGATATTTATATTTACAGGCCCCCTTGACATACAGGGAATATTGTACTGTAAAATACTCTCACTCATCTGTTTTCTCCCATTGCAGTGTTTTGCAGGTGGATGACTTTACACAAGGACTGTGGAAGATTTACACAAAAGTGAGGGGGGAGGGGTACACCCAGGTATGTAGTGTTATTGAACATGTTTATACTGTAGGCCTTTGTATCAGTAAATGTGTGTTGAGGCCCCACAGTAAATGTGTGTTGAGGCCCCACAGTAAATGTGTGTTGAAGCCCCACAGTAAATGTGTGTTGAAGCCCTACAGGTCACGTCAGAATGACCTTTCATCCGACCAATCAGACTGTCGCTTACCAGATCAGGAAAGTGACAGTCAGAATTTGTTTTCTAATCATGCAACCTTGAAGGGGTATTCCAAATGACAGGTAGGGTCTTTAGGACTCAATTCATACCTTCTAGGCCATCCATTAGCCGTTCAAAATGTTCCTTTGTTCAGTTTTCAAATTTTTAATCGAGAATGTGTCAAAATATATTTCGAAGTGTAGTCGCCAGTTTGAAACTAGTCCCGTAAAGCATGAGAAAGCTGCCTTCTGATTGGCTATTGTTGACTTCCCACAAAATGTCGGTCTGACGTGATGTGAAATGGGATGTCCACAGATCTTTGTTTAGCGGTAGCGTGAACTAAGGTCTGATTTTAATGAGATTGGTTCCAACCTCTCAGTACATGTTTATTCAAGCCTCCCCACACTGGATGTGTGTTAAAAAAAATTATAACCCATATTGATAATCACTGATTTATGATAACATGTATTTAAAGCCCCAACATCCGATCAGCCTAATCGGGGTGCATGCGCAGTAAATATTTTACGTATAAGGAAAATGGGCGGAGCTTACTATTTATAGTAACCCACGTGTCTCAATCTAAAATACATGTGGTAATCGGCAACAGGTGAACACCATTATGCACATCATCGTAGGTAACAAATTAACGTTGTTAATCTATTAAAATCATTTAAATTTTTTTTACCTACGTTTACTCGAGGAAAATGGCGACATAGTCCTTCCAAATCTGATCCCACATGTTGTAAGTTTTCCGTTTGAGGACTTTGGTCTCGGCCTGACGTTTTGGGTTTCTAGCATCCATGACATATCTTGATGATGTTGTTGGTCTATTTACGTGTTCATTCCAGTCTAATACTGCCATATTCGTCCGAAAACGATAAACATCGTCAGAAAAATTAATTCTTTTGTTATGATATTGTAGCAGTGAATTGTTGAAACTTTCAACAAAAAACGTGTCCATACAATGAACGTAGTCGTCGGTATGTTTATACACAACAGTATTTTTCAAAGCTTGACACAGAAGTAGCTCAGCCTTTGGGTCACAAATAAGTGTTTTGGATGATTCATAGTGCGCGTCTTGTCTACATCTCGACGTTTCTGAACAGTTATTATGGATATCCTTGTAATGATTGACCACATTCATAATATTATCGCGGAGCTTGTTGGCATCTTGATCGCAGTTCCTAATGCACCAATAAAAATGAGTCTTGATACTTCCTGCTTTGTCCGATAACTCGCGATGCCACGTCACATCCTCTTTGTATTTTGGACCCAAACACACACATTTAACCTCCTTTGTAACATTTTTCGTAGCATGCCATGTGTCATTTGTTGACGTTGTATCAGGGCGCTCCTCCCTGATAAATTTATTTATGACCGAATTCCTGTCATGACAATGTAATTTCACATGTACTCCGACACCATTGTCAACACTATCAAGATATTCATAGATACGCTGAGTTCCAATAAGTTCGTGTTTTTGTGTGCAGGCATTGTCTACTTTTGATACAGTTTCCGTCCTGATAACTTTGTGAGTGTTAGCTCCAATGCAAACAACATCAGTAAAACGGGAGTTTTTCCGTGTGGCATGGCGAGCGTCAGTGAGAATATTAATTCCATCCATATTCGGGTAGGTCACAATTTCTTCTAAAAGTGCATCCTCGCATGATTCACGACTTAAATCACAAACGACTTCTTTATAGTTTGAAAACATGTCAGATATGTAAGCTGAACCAAGTCTTCCAATGTCAGCTGCTTTCGCAAATCTGTCGTACTGATTGGGTAACATTCCAGACACAAGGTATCCATGACACATGCGAGAGTTTACCAAATATTTATTACCAAGATAGGGTGAACTGGGCCATATTATCACATGATCTTTTTCACATCTGAAAGTAACATAGGCAACATGTCCAATCATTTTCATGTCCAATTTCTGAGCAGGAAACGAGCATGACAAACTGTGCGAATAAAGTCGACCACAGAGCTTTTCAAGAGCATTTTCAGAGGCACAAAACATCTTTTGATTGCATTCATCCGTATTTTCACACTTGCAGAATGAAGAATCACGCGTAAAAGATTCGTCAGTTATATTCCCATCGTTTGCATCATCTGTTAAAACGTTTGCACGGACTGGATCGATATTTTTCTCAATAAAATATGAGAAAGTATTATCGAGAAGTTGTTTGTTTGTCACAAGATTAGGGTTCCCTTCTCCAAGAAAAGTTTTGATTTTCTTCGCTTGTTCATAAATGAAATCAATCTCGTCTCTGTTTTCAGCTGAAAAGTTAATTTTTCCTTGTGGTGAAGTTTTTCTCTCCGAATTTCTTCGTTTCACAGCTTCTGGATTGTCTTTTGAATATTTTCTCTTAATCCCGTTACTATCGCTTAACATTCTAGCAATACCTGCCATTTTTAACAATATTCGTCACTCTAGATCTACAGATCGGTTGCATAAAATCAGCAGACAACAAATAGTGAAAAGCGGGAAATTGGGCGTGGCTTATGTAACCCATAGGGGTGTGACAGGTGACTTTCGCTTTTGATAAGAGTTTAACTTTGAGACTTTTTCGAGAACCTAACTTGAGTTGCATATATATTGTTTATATAATACAAAATTGGTCGGTTTTGATTGTTTGAATGCAATGAATGCCATTAACCCTCCAGACCAACACAACCCATCCAACCCGTCGTGTATTAGACTACCCACCAACGCTTGGGTCACGCGACATAAGAAACAGCTGACCAAAACAACGCGCTACCATTATTTTGAGGGTTGTAGAGGGTGCTTTTCATAAGTTGAAATTTTGATTTATGACGACTAGCCATGCCTAAATATGCTTATTTGTAATGTGAAATGATACTTATTCACGGTAAATAATGAAACATTCCTTAAATCGCTACAAATCGTATATTCATCAAACTTTTTCATGATGTGTAATATATCTTTCATATAATGAGCGCTTCCAAATTCTATCGGTTTCTAATGGGTGTTACAACCAAGAAAATTTTGACAGGTCGCTTTCACGTTCGTTCACTGCTTATATATTTCAACGCTTTCATGATGTCATCCAAGTTCACTATTACACTAAATGTTGATGAAATGCAACAAGAAGCCATTCGAAGTTTATTCAATTACTCGGGATGGGATTACGATGCCGCAGTGCAGGACGTTTCGTCGTGTGATGCCAGTGTTCAGACGCGGGAAAGTGATGCAACGATTGACGAAGCCATGGAAGACAAGTTGAGTGATGCAAGTGTAGATGTCACCGGTGAAGAAGATTCGTCAGAGAAACCCCCTACTTTTATTGATGCTGGGGATGAAGTGAACGTTTTAGATTGTGATCTGAATGTCAGTATCGACGATCGTTTCCAGGAAATTCAGGAATGTGAATTTTGTTTTTGCCGCCCGTGTGTGACAACATTTCCTCAAAGATGGCTTGGCCGAGGCTCCGCCCCTCACGACAGAAATAGTGGGGTTCGCAGGACTATTTACAAGAACTATTGGTCGATGTTGGATAGACGAAATGCATGGAGGAATCCAAGGTATCTTTCCAAGAAGACAAGACTGTTGAATCGTGACCATTTGGACGAAACTGTTGTTTGTGTGCGCCGGGAAATTATGCCCAATTGTGTTTTGAACCATGTTCGTGGATTATATCCAAACATTCCTAATCGGGATTATATGGGACATAGGTGGTGGTAGTCCTCAAAACTCTTTCCAAGAACTGTTGGACGATGTTGGACAGAAGGAATGATTTGAGGAATCATCGAGGGATCTTTTCAAGACTGTTGACTCGTGACTGTACGAAACTGTTGATGATAATTCGGACTAGTGTGCGCCGTGAAATTATGCCTGATTGTGTTTTGAATCTTGCATGTGCTCGTGGATTCAAATACATTGTATATTCTGAATATGGATTTTATGGAACATACGTGGTGATAAATATGCTAAATAAGTTGAAAGGTAAGACGCCTCCTGAAGTAAACATCGACTATTCATAACCTGCATATTTCTATAAACAAGCACTGTCTACATATTTCAAATTGATCATCTGATTTGTAGAAATCGAATCAAGAATTACTTCATATTGTGTATATGTGTAAACTGTTATATTAACATGTCCACCAAAGATGATAGATTTGTGTATAAATAAACTACATATTGTCGACATTATAACTTTTATTTATTTTGTATAAGTTAATTTGCATAGTCCCGTTTACAATGTTTTCGCCAAATGCGGTGCACAAAACAGTCGTAAACTGTATGGGTATGTGTTCATTGTGGTACTGAACTTAACGTCTTTGTAATGCCATTTGGTAGTTTCTTGGCAGTTTCGTTGCAAGTAAACAAACACTTCGAGAAGTTGTGCCATGTGCGAGTTCGCCACGTGGTTTACTATAATTAGATTCGCTCGCGCAGTAGATGTCAGCTGACCGAAGGCTAACTCCTCCCACTTCTGTTGTTTCACAGACGACTGGATTTTTTACAACCAAACATCAGATCGAATGTAATATTTTTTTATATCGTGTGACTTTTGTTACACTGACTGGTGTAGGGCAAATCTGTCTGCCAAGATTTGGATGTGAATGTTGTCTCGTTCTTTAGTTATTCAAGATTTTGGGTCACCGATTACTGGCTGACCGATCATCGCAACGTCTGTCAAACACTAAGATCTCGCAAAATACCGCGCTATTTATAGTCCGGTTGGGACTTTAAGACAACTGTAGGTTTATTTTCAAACATTACATTTTAGCAAAAAGAAGACATATATCTACATAACAGGGTTTAAGCTAATTGCTCAGTTTATGTTTGTTTAAGAAATTATTTATTTACAGTTTAACTTAACGATAACAAATGGTAGTTATTGTTTTAGAACAAAAGTAAACCAAGGGAAGTTACTCTAACCTAATGACCTACACAAATATAACTAAGGAACATCGTGACAGTGGCCCACTCAAGGATGCTTACTGGCAAGTGCTGTTGATCATGAAAATAACGCGAGCATGAATTAAATGTGAAAAATGCGAGTAGTCTTTGTTCACATAAATGGAACTTCGCATTTATGTCGCCAAAATGTGTCAAAAACTAGGCATCATTGACCACTCCAGCAGTCCAGACAGACGCCACCCACGCAACACTTCATCAAGGGCTGACATGACCCAACGCGCACCGATAGGCTTCATCACACTCCTCAGATATACAGCCATTGTCATGTCATCTGCCGTCAGATTGTTGACACCTTCTCAGCATACCAGGGGCGGTCGGATAGCCTAGTGGTTAAAGCGTCCGCTCGTCACGCCGAAGACCCGGGTTCGATTCTCGACATGGGTACAATGTGTGAAGCCCATTTTTGGTGTACCCCGCCGTGATATTGCTGGAATATTGCTAAAAGCGGCGTAAAACCATACTCACTCACTCACTCACTCAGCATACCAATCTGTGAAGTGTTGTTGGTTCAATCATTTTATTGCCTTTGAACTTCCTCAGCAATAATAAGCAGTTCTATTTGCTGTTTGATTGGATTAAGGTAGGGTTGCATTAAGGTAAGGATATGTATCATTCCACTGGGGATGGGGTGGGGGAGGTCGCATTGATATTGTGTTGCATTTTTGGCTAGGGGTCAGCAGTCGTATTAATTTGGAGACGTATTAATTTCAAGATTTGTTAGGGCATCATGTATGGCAGTCAATTATGGTTTCACTGAGGATCTAGAAAATATAATTTGTATTTTTTACCTTGATTCTACTGCATCAGCTCACTATAGATGCTTGTTACAAGGTTTTAAGCATCATATTATTTCTTCATAATTCAGGTGAGCAACAAAGCCTTGTGGCCAGATATGTTTAGTTGTTTTTTGCCTCAGAGTGACCTTGCTGCACTTGTCTCGTGTTAGGCAGAGGAAATGATCCTAACAATGATACAAGATGTTAACTAGTTGTGTGTTCAAGCTAGTAGTTTCTTTGATTGTCCAGTAGACTTTGTGGTTTCATCTACACGTTCCATTGTGTGTTATTGTATTTTCTTCAGATATTTTCAGTGTTGCAAATAAGTGTTTCTCATTTCAGCCCCTGTCTTTAGGATTGTTCCGGAACGACTTCATGCTGGATGTGAAGGACCCAGACCATGTCCAGCCCAAACAGGTGGAGTTCAACACCATATCCTCCAGTTTTGCCGGCCTTACAACATCCACAGTTCTTCTGCATAGGTGGGCGTCTGTTGGAAACACAAAACAAACGCTGTCATATGCTTGAGCAGCGATCTCATTAAAATCAGATCCTTGTTCTCTCTACCGCAGAACAAAGACCTGAGGATATCCAATTACAGGCATGGGCGGATACAGAGGGGGGGTGCGGGGGTGCATCCCATTGAAGCGAGAGATAGATAATGATTTTGACGGATTCTGTTAAAAGACCATAAGTGTCATTCGGAATACCCTGTTATATGACTTAATGAGTTGATCATGGCTGGTGGATATTGCAACACACTCCTGTTTTGAATATCTCTAATACCCCATCCTTGTTGAAAGAGTGAGTGAGTGAGTTGGGTTTAACGCCGCTTTTTACAGTATTCCAGTTATATCACGGTATGACAGCTTAATGTGGGAGGAAAGCCCGAAGTGATGCAGGTCTCGGACGTTTACTACTTCATTGAAACCCACGAGCACGGGTATGGTGCTGACAAATCTAGAAACATAACCTAGAACCAGGATTTGAACCCACAATCATAGGTTTCTGGCGTGCCCAAGGGACGCAACCCTGCACAGCGAATCGCCTAAGACGACTGGGCCACCCGTGCCCCTCATGTTATAAGAGCTTATTGCTTGATTTATGCACTGGCTGTACATCCTGTGTCAGTCCTTGAACAAGGCTAAACCTCAGGGCTATGATGCTATGACAAACTCTCAGTTGATGATACCAGCAATAGCTGTCCACAGTTCTTACCTGACTCAGGGGTCAACTTAAAGGGTATGTAGTGTGGTATGCAAGACGCTATGAAATTGTTCTAGGTATGTACCCAGTAAATATTCTTTTTATACTTTTTAATTGTTTTCGATAGTCTTTCAATAATTTAACTTCAGATTGACCCTTTCTACCCTAGGAACATGTTCTATAGGTGTTCATAGGCGGATCCAGATCCAGGGTTCTGAACCCTTCCCCCCTCTTTTGAAAACCAAATGTAGGCAGTAAAATTATCTGAGAGAAGATTTTGATAATTGTTTTGACCCCTTCCTTTTAAAAATGCTGGATCTGCACTTGGTTTTCATCTGTGATTGACATTTTGCCTTTGTAGAGTGTGATTGGTGTTAATTAAATAGTATTCAGGATTCATGGGGGGGCAGATTTGGGATTCAAGGTGGGCAAATTTGGGAGTTAGGTGAGGTTCCTCAGGCGGGGCTAGAAACCTCAGATTTAACTGATGTGACATTTATGGTTTACATGAGTTTTGTGTTGCAGGTTTATCCTGGACATGATGGGGAAGCAGTATGATACAGAGGAGGTAAGTAGGACACACTTGCAGGAGCCCCCTTGGGGAGTCCAGGATGGGAGCATGATTAGAATAGGTGCCAAGCAACACTTGTACACTTCAGCTTAATGGATCCATGGTCTGAATCCGGATATAATTATTTTTATAGACAGGCATGATATAGCATGAATAGCTTAAAACAGCATTTCATTAGCTCACTGATCATCTAAGCTGTATTCGGTTTTGGAAAACAGACTCTAGCATTCAAATATTCTGACTTTTTGGCTCATATGGCTTAATATCAAGTGAGCTAATGTCTTGGCCTGTTTGTCCGGCGTCCATCGTGTGTCCTCCTTCGTAAACACTTTTTTCTCAGATGCCACTGCACCAATGAAGCTGAATGATGACATCCCAATTTGTTCGAGAGGTTTCGGTTTCAATCAGATTTTCAATATGGCCGCCACAGCAGCCATATTGTACAAACTCTTTGTGGCCATTACTTTCTTTCAAAATGGCATGAAATTTGGTACATGTGTAGTTAGTTGTAGTGCTCAACATCTATGTTCTGTATTTTGCAATAATTTGAATTTAATCTTGTTTTGACCGTTACCTAATATTTTCTCAAAATTTATTTTTCCCCCCTGTAAACTACTCTTCTGAAATTGGAAGATTTAGGGAACACAACTTTGTTGTCATACATGTTTCTCCTTATGATGACATCGGATCTTGTTAATTTTGTTACATTTTAGTGTTAGTTGCTAACTAATATTTGAACCTAATGCTGACATGCAGTTTCGTTCAGTGTCTGTCTTTGGTTTTAAAACTTTGGCCATTTTTTAATGTTGACAACATATACAGGTGAGCTACAGTGCCATATTACTTCATTTTGAATGTATTAAATCATTTTATTTTGAAAAAAATTATTTGATTATTATGATTTTCACTTCAAGAAAAAAGTTGCACATGACACAGATAACAGATGACATGTTAATTTAGTAACATTTGCCTGCCAGGTCCCGGACAACGATCCTGCACTGGGACTAGCTCAGGGCATGGTCAAGGCCTGGGAGCTGTATGGCCGAAAACAGTAAGTTTTGTTTGTTTGTTTGTTTGTTGTTTAACGCCGCACTCAGAAATATTCCAGCTATATGACAGCGGTCTGTAAGTAATCGAATCTGGACCAGACAATATAGTAATTGACAACATGAGAATCGATCAGCGCAATTGGGATCGATGACATGCATCGACAAAGTCAGTGAGCCTCTTACGACAAGTATAGTTGCCTGTTACGGCAAGCATGGGTTGCTGAAGACCTATTCTAACCCGGATCTTCATGGGACCGAAAACAGTAAGTAAGGTTGCACCTTTATTGTAGGTCACAAACCATGATGTAAAAAGTGGCGTAAAACCATACTCACTCAATCACTCATTCACACATTGTAGGTCTTCTTCACATTATTAACATAACTTTTGTTCAGCAATTTGCCAGAGTACCAGCATCAACAACTAGTACCCTGTGTTCGTAGCTCACCTTCTCATATTAACTTGCCAGTATAGGATAGTATACCATGTGATGTGTGGAATGAATCTTAAGATGTCAGGCTATGACGAACCACTCACCTGTTTTGGGATATATAACTTTACTCCCCGACAAAAGAAGCTTAAATACCATATATGTTGGTTTTTATATGAACAATTACTCATAGACTCAAAGGGCCGTCAGTTAGCCTAGTGGTTAAAGCGTTCGCTCGTCACGCCGAAGAACCGGGTTGGATTCCCGACATGAGTACAATGTGTGAAGCCCATTTCTTGTGGCCCCCGCCTTGATATTGCTGGAATATTGCTAAAAGTGGCACAAAGACCATACTCACTCACTCACTCATAGACTCAAGAGATATTAGAGTGTATTGATGCAAAACGGACATACTGTCATGTTGTGTGAATCAACACTCGTGGACGCATCACATGTGATGTCATAGACACATTACAAGAGATGCACCTTTTGTCTTGTGTAGGATTAGCGTGTAAGGTTTGGAAATCACTTGAAGGGTATCTTGATGAAAGTAAAGTCACTCTGTGGTAACACTTGACTGTTTGTTAGTTTTGTCATTTATTGGTACACACTGGAAACTTGTCTTCTTAAAGTACGAACTTCTCTATATGTTTCTATGGTTCGCGTTATTTCTGGCGGTGAGTATGTATATCAGTCGTCTGTGAGACAAACAAGATGTCCATTCAACAAATCTGTGATCATACTGTTCCTTCCATGAACCATGGTTGAACTTCATTCACAACATGTTTATGTCAATGCAATTAATAATTTGGTGCAGCCTCGTGAAGACCTGGGATAGAATACTTTTCAGCATCCCATGCTTGTCGTAAGAGGCGACTAATGGGATCGAGTGGTCAGGCTCGCTGACTTGGTTGATGCATGTCATCGTATCCCAATTACGTGGATTGATGCCCATGATTTCAATCACTGGATTGTCTGGATCAGACTCGATTATTAACAGTTTGCCGTCATATAGCTGGAATATTGCTGAGTGCGGCATTAAACAACAAACAAACTAAGTGATGTTACAAAGACAAAGTTACAACGTTGCTCCATGTTGGACGTAACTCGTTAGTGACAGCTTAACTCTGATGTCCACACAGTATTTAGTTTAGTTTTAAACTGGACGCCTGTCTTCCTCATGACTATTTGGTCATGATTGGGCCCATGTTCTCTGCCATCTCTACATTTATGTGCACAGTTGTGGCCCTTTGACAACAATCTTATGTTTGATGTTAGCTTGTCTATGATTATGATCCTTGGTCTGTCAGCATGGCCTTGCTCCTCTTCAGGCTTACTCCAGCATTAGGGGCGGTTGGGTAGCCTAGTGGTTAAAGCATTCACTCGTCACGCCGAAGACCCGGGTTCGATACCCGACATGGGTACAATGAGTGAAGCCCATTTCTGGTGTCCCTCGGGTGATTTTGATGGAATATTGCTAAAAGCGGCTTAAAACCATACTCACTCACTCACTACTCCAGCATTAAGTTGACATGCAGTGATTAAACTGAAATATTGTTCAGAGCAGCATTTAGCCACACTCACTCACTCTATCTCTATACTGTCTGGATCTGCTGGAAGTGTGATTCACCCAGTTTATGATCCATCAAGACCATACCCATGCTCGTTGGTTTCACCCAAATGATAAATGTCTATGTTCTTTTGGACTTTGCTACCACATTGTGCAAGGTAAAAAACCTCACTCACTCACTCCTTTAGCCTGTTCATGCTCCATTTTCCAGGGCAGTCCTACTGTTCATTGTGAGTGAGGCAGAGCGGAACATCTTTGACCAACGTGCCCTGGAGTTCAAAGCCTACTCACTAAACCATGGAGTTCGGGTACTACGTCGCACGTACCTAGACATCTACAACAACGCCTCCCTGACAGAAGATAAGAGATTGATGGTGTAAGTGGTCAGCCTTTTTCCAAGGCCCAAATATCAAGCATCTGACACGACATTACTGTAGCTCACCTTCACATGTCACGATGTCTTAGTGGCCAGCAGCCTGTCAGAGTACCGTATTATTTGTTTGTTACTGCGATTATGATTACATATGAGATTATTTCTTCCTGTGATTGTTTAGGATCACTATATTATGTGTTAGTATGCTTTACCGATATTCAAAGCTTATTTTTCTATGGCTTTTGTTGTTGAAAGAGGAGACTATTCTGTGTTGTTCATTAAGGCACATTTAGGGAAAACAGCAAAACTTTTCAAGAGGGTGTTAAGTGTTAAACCCAACTCATTGTCGACATCTTGTAAAATTTAAGTGAGCTTCAGTATCTTATGTTTCTATTGCTGTTGAAGGCTTTTCTAATTGCTCTCTAGTGATGGAGATGAAGTGGCCGTGGTGTATCTGCGTACTGGGTATGAGCCGGATGCCTTCCCGACACATAAGGTATGTGTCATGTCTATGAGACCTGCCAAAGTCCTGTAAGTCCTTACACTGCAGATATTTGATGTTGCTGTAGTGTCCAACCCAGGCCGCGCGAATGCGCGATTCACGCTAAAAAAAATCAAATCGCCCCTCATAAAAAAATCAAAGCGCGATCTGTCGCGCACAGTAATTTCTTGTACAGTCACTTACTTTATCAGCTGTTTATCCCTACCTTTAGATTCAATACTCACTAAATCTTTAATCAATTAACGAAGAAAGAGAGTTCACAGCAAACATTGTAAACAACTGTCGAAGACCGATTGATAACAACCGACGTTCGAACACAAGTGACGTTCCTTGGGTTGCTGAATAAATTATCGACAGGATTGGCATAGGAAACGAAATTTGATTTACTTTAGTAGAAAACGTATCAAAACTTTGATGAAAATTATGTTGTATTTTGTTGTTTAGTAATCAAAAACCTTTGACAAGATGTTTAAAGACAATAAATATTCTATCTTGAATAGTTATGAAAATATTTTTGAGCATTTTAATTTCGTTTTAGTTTCGTTTCTGAAATCACACAATATGAATCGCCGACTGTCATAGCAGATGATATTTTGAACAGTGAATGACCATGTTGCACTAAAACAAAAGAATTACAGACTTTTTTAATCAAAATAGAAAAAAGCACAAAGCATTGTTATTCATTTCAGTTCTTTATTCTGATCTGGAACACTATTATATGATGATGTTCCAGTACATAATACAAAATAAGACACTTTTGAAGAAAGCAATTATCCCCCCTTCTTTTTCAAAATCCCTCCTATTTTCTACATGATGGGGGAACAAGTCCCCCCTTGATTTTCAATTCTGGGTTGGACACTGTTGCTGTTTCCCTGGGAAGTCGGGGAAAGAATAGGTTGCCAGCAATCTATGCTGGTCATAAGAGGTGTCTTATTTGATTGGGCAGTCAGACTTGAAGATTTGTGTGTTGTTATAGTGTGACGTCAAGGATTGTAATATAAATCACTGGCTTATCTGGTCCAAACTCAATTATTTATTTGCTGTCATCATAAGGCTGGAATGTGACTGAGTGTGGCGTTGAACAATAAACAAATAGACAAAAGTGTGAAAGGATTTACTGAAAACTAACAATTGTTTGTTGGACATACTGGGTGAACTGAAACAGTGTTTGTGATATAAAAGTCCTTCTTTCAGACAAACACCAAGCAAGCACATTGATCACTGTTTCAGGAATGGGATGCTAGACTAAAGATGGAACGTTCATTAGCCATCAAGTGTCCCTCCATCCAATATCAACTAGCTGGAACAAAGAAAATTCAACAAGAGCTGACCTTACCTGGATCAGTGGAACAATTCATTAAAGACCCAGTTGCAGTGAAGAGAATCCGAGCTACATTTGTGAAGCTGCATAGCCTAGATTTGGTGAGTAATTTTTCTTTAGGACAGTGTGAGTACACGCAGACATACATGAGAACTTAGACACAAGCAGATGTACATGAGAACAGACACAAGCAGATGTTCATGAGAACTGAGACACAAGCAGACGTAAATAAGAACAGCGATACAAGCATACGTACATAAGAAAAGCGAAAGAAGCAGACGTAATGAGAACCGAGACACAAGCAGACGTACATGAGAACCGAGACACAAGCAGACGTACATGAGAACCGAGACACAAGCAGACGTACATAAGAACAGCGATACAAGCAGACGTACATGAGAACCGAGACACAAGCAGACGTACATAAGAACAGCGATACAAGCAGAAGTACATGAAAATAGAGACACAAGCAGACGTACATGAGAATAGAGACACAAGCAGACGTACATGAGAACAGCGATACAAGCAGATGTACATGAGAACAGAGACACAAGCAGACATACAACAGAACAGAGACACAAGCAGAAGTACATGAGGATAGAGACACAAGCAGACGTACATGAGAATAGAGACACAAGCAGACGTACATAAGAACAGAGAAACAAGCAGACATACATGAGAATAGAGTCAAGCAGATGTACACGAGAACAGAGACACAAGCAGACATACAACAGAACAGAGACACAAGCAGATGTACATGAGAACAGAGACACAAGCAGACATACATGAGAATAGAGACACAAGCAGACGTACATAAGAACAGAGATACAAGCAGACACACGACAGAACAGAGACACAAGCAGATGAACATGACAATGATACAAGCAGACGTACATGAGAACAGAGACACAAGCAGACATACAACAGAACAGCGATACAAGCAGATGTACATGACAACAGAGACACAAGCAGACGTACATGAGAACAGAGACACAAGCAGATGTACATGAGAACAGAGACACAAGCAGACGTACATGAGAACTGAGACACAAGCTGACGTACATGAGAACAGAGATGCAAGAACCATTGTGTGTGTAGATGTATCATACTTATATCACACGTATATCACTTTCTATGGTGACTAGGGTCCAGACGGGGACAAGGGCGTGGAGATAGGGAAGACTGACCCAGACAAGTACGTCCTCAAGCCGCAGAGGGAAGGGGGAGGTAAGTCTACTAAACACTGCTTCGGAAAGTTACAGACAAGAAAAACCCTAAAATGGTTTGGCTCTGTTGAAAATAATGTGACCTCTGTCTGATATGTCATGTCTGTGGCATGCCTTCTGTCAATGATATATGTCCTCAATCTGTGGTATGTCCTCTGGATGTGTTATGTCCCCTGTCTGAAATGTCCTTTATCATACGACCTCTGTTTGTGATATATCTTGTGTTTGTGTTGTGACCTGCCTGAAATGTCTATTTTGATTCCTGTCATGTGATCTGTCTGTCTGTGATCTGTCTGTGATATGTCATCTGTGTGTTATATGTCCTGTGTCTGTGATATGTCCTCTGTCTGTGATATGTCTCCTGTCTGTGATCTGTCTTCTGTCTGTGATATGTCCTCTGTGTGTTATATGTCCTGTGTCTGATATATCCTGTCTGTGATATGTCCTCTGTCTGTGATATCTCTCCTGTCTCTGATATGTCTTCTGTGTGTTATATGTCCTCTGTCTGTGATATGTCTTCTGTCTGTGATATGTCTTCTGTGTGTTATATGTCCTCTGTCTGTGATATGTCCTCGGTCTGTGATATGTCCTCTGTCTGTGATATGTCTTCTGTCTGTGATATGTCCTCGGTCTGTGATATGTCCTCTGTCTGTGATATGTCTTCTGTCTGTGATATGTCTTCTGTGTGTTATATGTCCTCTGTCTGTGATATGTCCTCGGTCTGTGATATGTCCTCTGTCTGTGATATGTCTTCTGTCTGTTGCTAGGAAACAACCTATATGGAAAAGACATCAGCAAGTTCTTGGAGGCACACCAGAAATCAGAAGAGCGAAATGCCTACATCCTGATGGAGAGAATATTTCCCAAGTCTCAAAAGAACTATCTTCTCAAGCCAGGGATACCTTTTGTCCTATCTGATGTCATCAGTGAACTGGGGATATATGGAGTGTATATTGGGTAGGTAAATACCCTAAACCTAAGGATGCCTTTTCTGCTGTCTGATGTAATGAATGACCTGGATACACCGTCTATATTGGATATATTTTAGGAAGGTATATCTGCTAAACCCTTAAGTTTCTTCATGCACTTATGCACTAAGTGTAAATTACCATCAATTGGGTATATATGGGTGTATCCCCACAAGCCATAGGTACCCTTCTTGTACTTGTCTGATAATGTCATTCTGTTGTCGGACATGTTTTTGGTGATTGTCTGGTCCAGATTCAATTATTTACAGCCTTTTTATAAAGGTTAGTGCAGCGTTAACAACAAACAAACCAACCTTGTGTTGTGTCTGGTGTACTTGTGTTATTGCTGATGATATACTTGTGGTGTGTGTCTGATGATGAACTTGTATTGTCAGGTCTGCAACAGAGGAAAGTATGAACACACAGTGTGGCCACATGCTGAGGACCAAGGTTCTAGGAACAGATGAGGGTGGAATATGTGCTGGATTTGCAGGTCTTGATACACCGTTCCTCGTCAGCACAGATTAGACACAAGCATCTCCTGCAAAGTGCGGAAAAAACTGATAAATCTCCCATCTCCTTGCTGGCTCACTCTCTGTATCATCAAATGGGAATCTGATGGTCACTGGCTCACTCTCTGTATCATCAGTTGGGAATCAGATGGTCGCTGGCTCACTCTCTGTATCATCAAATGGGAATCTGATGGTCACTGGCTCACTCTCTGTATCATCAGTTGGGAATCAGATGGTCGCTGGCTCACTCTCTGTATCATCAAATGGGAATCAGATTGTCGCTGGCTCACTCTCTGTATCATCAAATGGGAATCTGATGGTCACTGGCTCACTCTCTGTATCATCAGTTGGGAATCAGATGGTCGCTGGCTCACTCTCTGTATCATCAAATGGGAATCAGATGGTCGCTGGCTCACTCTCTGTATCATCAAATGGGAATCAGATGGTCCCTTGCTCTGTCTCTGTATCTTTAAATGGGAATCTGATGGCTGGTCTCTTAATGTTTTTTCATCAGTAAGCATTTTGAATATTATTATGTTTTTGTGCCACATTTGCAGTAGAGCATCTCATGTATCTATTTTTACAGCTGAAATGCTTACTCATTGAGGTGAAGGTCATATCTGCATGGAAGATTTAGGCAGTTTAGTCTGTTGTATGGACATTGCCCTTGTTACTATAAGGCAGCTACTACATAGCAGTGTAAGTGTCTCATTTTGAAGGGCTTTAAACAGGTTGGGTATTTTTATGTTTTATTATGTTATCCATTCTGAATGTTATGTATATCTGATAACGATAACCAGATGAATATTACAGAATTATGTTGATGGTATGTCATATAACAGGAATGATCTTACCTTGTATTAAGATAATTGTTTCTTATTGGTTACTGAATGGGAAAGTTTTCCCATGTGTGAGATGAGGTACAAATTTGATATACCATGCTGGTAAATGCAGAGAAATTTATGCCGGTATGATAACTTCATGGTGAACCGGTCCTTTGGTGTGTATATTGTGTGATGTACCCTGTGCGTTAGCATACAGGATCAGGGTACATAGGCTCACACACAGAGTACATGGTACATACCCCTCGGGCTCATGAAGACCCAGGGTAGAATAGGTCTTCAGCAACCTATGCTTGCTGTAAAGGGCGACTATGCTTGTCTTAGGGGCGACTAACGGGATCGGGTGGTCAGACTCGTTGACTTATTTGATGCATGTCATCGGTCCCAATTGCATGGATCGATGCTCATGATGTCAATCACTGGATTGTCTGGTCCAGACTCGATTATTTACAGACTGCCGTCATATAGCTAGAATATTGCTGAGTGTGGCGTTAAACAACAAACAAACAAACATGACCCTAGAAACAAATCAACATCTAGTAATCCCCGGCCGCCTCATACCAACAGACATTAGACATGACATGGTACTTGTTGTGTCCCTGCCTGGCACTAGCCATTTAAGGGACAGTATGTAGACAGTTCTGTGTGTTTTGAAATCATGGGTCATGTAATTTCTGTGTGTTAGGTCACATGCCCAATTCAATTCCTAGACCCAAACAATAGAGGTCTGCATGGCAAAGCCAACAAGGATGCACATGTAAAGCAGTAAACTTGCTTCAATAATGTTGTGTTTTCGAGGCAAATTGAAGAGAAAGCTTGTGTGTTTTTCATATGGATGAGTTGCAAAAATACTAATTGCCAGCCTGATTAGATTAAAAGCCATTGTTTACAACCAGGGGTTATCGGCTATTGTCTACATAGCTTCAGAACTGTCCCTTTACAAGAACCGCTTGTCTCAGAGTCAGGATTCTGTGTCTGAGTGGGGTATTCATGTTAAACTGCGGCATGGTGTCTCAGTGAGCTAGCACAATGAAACTGGCATTAGTCCGGACTAGTACAAGCAGCCACACACACACAAACATGTGTGTTGCTCGTCGCTATATAGCTGCGATAATCCACGACACAGACACACAAAGACGGACAGACACACTGACACACAGACAAACATACAGACACACTCACACTCACACAGACAGAAACACGGACAGACACACAAACACAGACAGACATATGGTTTTCGTTTTTGTCTGAAGATTGAGATAAATTCTCATATCTTGGGAAAATGATGAGAGTTTTGTTCCATGGTAACTTGAAGAATGGATCATATAGTCACTGCCAAAAGGAACGTGAACCATAGAAACATATAGAAAAGTATGTAGGTGTAGAGATGTTTCCAATAGAGCTGTTACGATTCTCTCTCGTATTCGGTGAATCAAACCGTATTCATTTATGAATTGAATTTGTTATTCGTGGTCACTAGAATCGAATATTTATGAATTTACAGTCCTGTGAATTTACATACCCTGACTCTTAAATAACCACAAGAACATATTATATGCATAGATTTGTTCAATGACAACACTCTTTTATATTAAATTTGACAGCATTTTAGTCACTGGTCATTGTCACATTTGAGCTGATACTTTAGTGCAGTATATAAACGTTTAATAAATTCATAATTGACAAACCATTTCAAATAATTTATTTTGTTATTGTTTCACTGAATATCATAATATCATAAATAACACATCAACTGCTGACTTGTAATTGTATCCGTGAATAAATATTCTTATTCGTTACCCTATATTCATGCGAATCGTATTCACCTAACAGTGTATCCGTTGCAGGCCTAGTTTCCAATGTGTTCCAGTTCATGACATATGCTGCACATGATTTCCCAACTTTACATGCTAATCCTGCACGAGGCAAATGGTGCATCTCGAGTCACGGCTCTATGACATCACATGCGTTCATGTGCATCGATTCACACAACTTACTTGTATGTTCATTTGTGCAACGAACCCATCTATTATTTTTTGAATATGAATAATTCTTCATATATAAACCAACATGTATGGTATCATCTTCCCGAGGCAAGAGAGTTAACTGACTATAAAAGTCCAGTTTCCACCCTTGCCGAACTAGGCTGGCATTATGGAGTTACATTTGGCTGGACTAACGCGTCTATGCATAGTCCAATCATAATCGCTCAAAGAAATCGAAATCCGGTTCGTAAACTGTCGTGCAGATTTCGATCGACTGCAGGATTTGCAAAGCATGTGCACCGCATGCGTGTGACGTCACTGCCCGCTCTCCCATTCATCTTTTCTTGAAACCACACCCGCAATTGTTAATGTCAACATGACCGACCAATGGGATTAACTGGATTAACGCTTGAAAAGGTAAGAATTTATGGCTAACCCTTGCCCAAAGCCAGCTGACCCTAATGGCCGAAAAGGGGTTTTGGATCGTAAAGACGTGTAAGTTTCCCTAAGACCGAAAACGGGTGTTGGATCGTAAAGACGTGTTAGTTTCCCTAAGACCGAAAAACGGGTGTTTGATCGTAAAGATGTGTAAGTTTCCCTAAGACCGAGAACGGGTGTTTGATCGTAAAGATGTGTAACTTTCCCTAAGACCGAAAAACGGGTGTTTGATCGTAAAGATGTGTAAGTTTCCCTAAGACCGAGAACGGGTGTTTGATTGTAAAGATGTGTAAGTTTCCCTAAGAACGAAAACGGGTGTTGGATCGTGAAGCGAGTCACCAGAGCGTGAGGCACGGTAACGGTATAAACGAGACAGCGGTGGCACTATAGCGCGGTAATTGAGCGGATGGTAGAGCTCGGGCTGCGCCCGGTAAACTCCATTTGTTGCCTGCACCGCCAACTCGTTGTCAGCAGATATTTTCCAAATCTTTTAATGTTTTTCATCAAGGTACTCACGTGATTTGATGCATTTCGCGATGTAAGACCCTTTTTTATCAAAATATAGATCTTGATTATCGATCAGATCGTCCTGACTGGGCACCACCATTTTGTGTGAATCAAACGCAAGGAGTTGCACCCGACTCGCCTAAAATCCGACTCGCCTAAGAAAATCTGACCCGACTCGCCTAAAAAATATATATAATATTTTGGTATGCGTTTGGCAAATATAACTTAGGTTAGACCTAATGATCACAATTACTAGTATATTCATACACAAGTATGGAAATAATATTAAAAAACATCCATAGAATTTGTCTTCTGTCATATCACGGACTTGTATAATATAGGTCCGTGGTCATATTTACATCTGCACTTCATGTTGAGTCAGTGAGTCAGAGCCCAGTCGGTTACGCTATTGGGACCGAGACTACAACACTAACATTTAGGTACATTATGTGTATAAAATGCATTACTATGTATTTCTGATAGTTACATACTTATTCTAAAATACAAAAAACGACCGTTTTTAGTTCGCTCAAAAACATTATAGGCGAATCGGGTCAATATCTTTTTAGGCGAGTCGGATTTTAGGCGAATCGAATCCCGGTTCGCCCCGATTATGTTTCTAGGTTTGTCATACCCCTGCTCGTGGGTTTCACCGAAGTGGTAAACGTCTGAGACCTGCATCACTTCGGGCTTTCCTCCCACATTAAGCTGACACGCCGCGATATAACTGGAATACTATTAAAAGCGGTGTTAAACCCAACTCACTCACTTTATGTTTTCTTCCAATACTGCATACATGTACTATATGCCTATGGCCTTCTCAATTAAGATTGATTCAATTTTCTATTGAATAGACTGTTTAATATTCAGACGGACGCAGACTATTTGTATGTTTATGGAAACATAAAACTTATATGAGTCTTTTTCTTAAAGCAAACATATTTGTTCATAACGTAACAATATGGTCATTGGATTATATTATTATAACGCAGCCATTGCTGACAATATATCGCAGTTATATTATCGAACCATTGAAATATATGCAAATTTTTGTCAGTATTGCAATCTTCCATTTACCAATTACCGGACAATTAGGACATAGGACACGCCATTGGGATATGATGACATGCATCAAGTCAGCGAGTCTGACCACCCGATCCCGTAAGTCGCCTCTTACGACAAGCATGGGTTGCTGAAGACCTATTCTGACCTGAATATTCTCGGGTGTGTAGTGTTCCGAGTCGTAAGATGTGTTAGGTGTTTCTAAAACATTTTGTTACTTAGAGTCATGCTCTTTAAATAGAAGTAAAGTACGGTTATAACGAACTCAAAGGGACTACTAATTTTAGTTCGTTATAACCGAAGTTCGTTATAAGCATATATACAGCATAACTACAGCAAATAGTCGGGACCAAAAAAGTAAGTTCGTTATATCCGTCAGTTCGCTATAATCGTGTTCGTTATAACCGTAGTTTACTGTAGAAGTAAATGACAGATATTTTAACCAACAAATAAGATATCACACTGAATTTTGAACATGATGCATAGGCAATATTCCCAACAATATTCCATTAAATCAGAGCTACAAAACCCTTTCCAAAGCCACAAGAAATCAATGCTAAATGCAGAGTCGATTGTACGATTCCGTCTGTATCTTGTCCATCTCCTTTTGTCACTATCAAATACTTATTATATCAGGTTTTCGGATAAGAAGTGCGTGTAACCTGTCTTACCAGTGGTACCCGTCACAAAAAACAATGTAGTGTATATCCTGCTATCACGAACTACATCCAACGATATTTCAAGAACATTGCAATATTAAGATCTTTATTTGAAAGACAAAAAAAAAGCACATAACAGTAAAATATTTCATTTGATTAAGAACAGTGTTGAGAATCAATCATCAGGACATAAATGTTTATCATGTTTATCCTCAAAGTAATCCTTAGATATGCCTAAATGCAGTATTAAGATATTTATTGGAAAGACATGGAAACGCACATGATAATAAATTATTCCATTTGATAAAGAACATAGATGAGAATCAAACATCAGTCATAAATGCACATTTTACCTCAAAGTAGATATAGATATGTCTATATTTCCTTTTTGAGATTTGTATTTTTCTGATAATGATTGAAACGCCATGTATGTATATGAGAATATGCATGAATATCACATGTTATAACATTTCCCAATGCATATGTATATTCACGTAAAAAAGACAAAAAGAAATTATTATTATTTAGTTATGTGTTACTGTATGTGGAAATTTGAAAAATGATCATCATTTTAGAATATGGAAACATGAAAGGATAAGGTCTGGTTTAATTCAAATGAACTTGATCTGTTGTAAACATCTGATCATTGCCAAAACAAACTACATGTATAGTCAATGTAATTCATCGAAATGTAAATAATTTGTTGAGGTACAAAACTACTAGTATGTTATTGCC